CACACACACACACACACACACACACACACACACACACACACACACACACACACACACACACACACACACACACACCACCCCAGATGCAAGCGGTGCGGTGGATCAAGGCGCGCGAGGGCAAGGCCCTGGACAGCAAGGTCAAGACCTTCAACGACGCCGACTTCCTGAAGCAGCTGGAGCTGGCCGTGACCTACGGCAGCGCCTTCCTGTTTGAGGGCTGCGATGAGTACATCGACCCAGTGATCGACCCGGTGCTGGAGAAGGCGCTCACGCCTGGGCTGGGCGGCAAGCTGGTGCGGGTCAGATGGTGGTGGTGGCTGTACGTCTGCCAGCTCCTTGCACTCTGTGACTGGGCGCGTCCCCTTATTCTACTGTCTGTTAAATGTGCGATGCATTGAGTCAGCTGGGGCTGCCTGTGGCGGTTGTCGCACGCCCAAAGCGCTGCCAGTTGCCTCAGCACGCAGCTCGATGTTGCAGCCGCAGCGTCCTGCTTGGATGCCCATCCAGATTCGTGTTCCTCAATTGTGTCCCGACCGAAGTGCTCTCTTGCGTCCGCCCCCGCCGGCCCCGCAGACAATCAAGCTGGGTGACAAGGAGGTGGACTGGGACCCCAACTTCCGCCTGTACCTCACCACCAAGCTCAGCAATCCGCACTACGGCCCCGAGGTGGCGGGCAAGACCTCGATCATCAACTACGCCGTCACCCAGGTGCGCTGGTGTGGGGGCAAGGGCTGCTTTTGAGGTCCAGGGTTGCGGGGGCAGACGTGAGGGGCCCCCAAATTTGAGTGGTTTGTAGTGGTGCACTCGCCTTGCCGTGTTTCAAATGGGTAAGAGAGTATAAATCCACCTTCAAATGAAGCTTGGCAAACTATATTGTGTGTTTGACAACCAGCATCAACGCTCCATTTGAACCCTGCTCGCCACGCCGTCTCTGCCCGTTTTTTGGCGGGTCCCTCTGCAGGACGGCCTGGCGCAGCAGCTCCTGGGGGTGGTGGTGGCGCACGAGCGGCCCGACCTGGAGAGCAGCCGCCAGGACCTCATCCGCGAGATGAGCGCCAATAAGGGGCTGCTCTCAAAGCTGGAGGACACGCTGCTGCGGGAGCTCAGCAGCGCCACGGGTGCGCGCGGCCGTCGCGCTTGTGGCGCCGGCGGCTCGACGATCATGTTGTTGTGTGCCCCGTTGCCACCAAGCCTCTCGCCTGCAGATTATTCAATACTGCGGCCAAACCTTGCATTCGGCCCTCGCGCTCGCCATGCAGCCTCCAAAACCTCCTGCGACTCTCAATCATGCATGTACACCGGCACCCCAACACACACACACCCACACACACACACACACACACACACACACACACACACACACACACACACACAAATAGGCAACATCCTGGACAACCAGGAGCTCCTCACCACCCTGGAGGGCGCCAAGTCCAAGGCCGTCGAGCTGGCCGACAAGCTCGAGACGGCCAATTCCACCGCCGCAGAGATCGACGACGCGCGCGTGCGCTACCGCCCCGTGGCGGCGCGCGGGGCGGCGCTGTTCTTCTGTATGGCGGGGCTGGCGGCCGTGAACAACATGTACGAGTACAGCCTGGCCGCGTTCCTCGGGGTCTTCAACCAGGTGGGGGCCCGGGGCCACTGTGGCCTCAGGCTGAACAAGGGTACAGGCTGACCGTGGGGCCAGGCGCTTGCGGTTCAGGGGAGGGGCGCGGGCGCGTCAAGAGGAGGCCAGGGATGGCCCTTGACAATGTGGGCAGGTCCTTGAAACTGACTGGCTGTGAGCTCCGGGGCGGGGGGCGGGGGGGGGGCAAGCGGGCTCGACACTTGCGTGTGCTCCTTAGCTGACTGGATCCGCTCTTGCTACTCCGCCCTGCCGGGATCCCCGCCCCTGTCGCCGCCGCCCAGTCGCTGCGGTCCAGCAAGAAGGAGCACGCCCTGGAGGCGCGCCTGCGCTCGCTGTCGGAGCAGCTGACGGGCGATGTGTACGCGTACGTGTGCACGGGGCTGTTCGAGGCGCACAAGCTTCTGTTCAGCTTCCAGCTGGCGGTCAAGGTGCTGGAGGGGGGGCCGGCGGCGCCAGACCCACAGGTGGGCCGCCTTGCTTGCTGGGGCAGGGGTTTGGTTGAGCTGCGGGGGTTCCTGCAGGGACGGCGCGTGGAGGCCGCGAGCAAGGCGAGCGCGAGCTAGGGATGCGGCGCGCCGTACTGCGAGCAGGATACATTGATGCAGACGCCCAGCTGCTCTAGACAGAGGCTGGAAGCCTGAGTTGCCACCAGTCACACACTCCGCGAGCCCCGACACTTCCTCCTTCGCCTCTCGCGGCCCCACCCCCTCTGCGGCGCACCCTGTCCTGCCCTACGCAAACCAGTCCACTCCTCCGCCCCACCCCCCCCCCAAATTTAAAACTAATAGTTCCTCGACTTCTTCTTCAAGGGCAACCTGTCCCTGGAGCGCCACAAGCGGCCCCGGCCCCACGACTGGGTGCCGGACCAGGGCTGGCAGGACGTGATGGGCCTCACAGAGCTGGCCGCAACCAAGAAGGGCGAGGGCGGTGCGTGGAGGCAGGGGGATGGAAGGGGTAGGCGCGGGCGCGCGCCCGGCCGGCGAGTGGGGGCCGCACTGGGGCTGGCATGCAACGCGTAGCAATCCCTCTCAAGGTGCACAACCTCCGAAATAAGCGGGGGAAAATGGCACACTGAGCATGAGGCTCTGATGTCACGGTGACGCGTGTGCTGCGGCGTGCCCCGCGCCCCGCAGGCAGCCCCCACCCCCTGGCGGGCCTGGCCGACGCGATCGCGTCAGACGGCGCCTCCTGGCGCGACTGGTTCGAGCTCGAGGCCCCAGAGTCCGCGCACGCGCCCGGCGGGCTCGCCGCCGCGCTGGCGCCGTTCGAGCGGCTGCTGCTGCTGCGGTGCCTCCGCGTGGACCGGGTGACGGTGGGCGTCACCCGGTGGGTGATGGGAGAGCTTGGAGAGCGGTACGTCACCCCGCCGGTGAGCACCTGACCGCGTGGCCACCCAGCTGTTTGATCCGTGCAGGCGGACCATGGGAGTCACGCAAGGTTGCGGGTCGCGTCTGAGCAGCTCCGGCCTGTTCAAGTAAAGCGCAGTAAAGTTGAGATCTGACGCCTGTGCTAGATTAATGCGGCTGACCTACTTCCGCCGGCCTCTGGCCCCCCAGGTTTTGGACTACGCGGCGCTGTACCGCTCCAGCAATGAAACGACGCCTGTCGTGTTTGTGCTGTCGCCTGGCGCCGACCCGGCCTTCGACGTCTTCAGGTGGGGCCCCACCTCACAAACCCACCCTGATGACCCCCGCCCTGGCCCCCGCGCCGCCTCCCAAAATGCTCTGACTCCCAGCGTGCATCCCATTCCCTTCCTCGCTGCTACTGCCGGGCCAGCGCTCGAAACCTCGGCGTGCGGACGTCTCTTCCAC